TATGAACCATGTCTTGCGTGCTTTTATTGGAAAATTTGCTGTTGTATACTTTTGATGACATTCTGATCTATAACAGAAGTGAGCATGATCATTTGAGCCACTTAAGATGTGTTCTTGAAGTGCTGAGACAAGAGAAATTATATGCTAACTTTAAGAAGTGCAACTTTTTCTTGGATAGCGTTGTGTTTCTTGGTTTTGTTGTTAGTTCTAAGGGAGTAGAGGTGGATGGCGAAAAGGTAAAGGCCATCCGAGATTGGCCCACACCTACAACCGTATCGGAGGTTCGTAGTTTTCATGGACTTGCAGGATTTTATCGTCGATGTGTGAGGAATTTTAGTACCATTGTTGATCCTTTAACGGAGATCATCAAGAAAGATGTGGGATTTAAGTGGGAAAAGGAGCAAGAGAACGCATTCAACAAGAAAAACTAATTTCTTATCCTTTATTGGTTTTACCGGTTTTTTAAAAACATTTGAAATCGAATGTGATGCTCCTGGAATTGGCATCGGTGCAGTTCTTATGCAGGAGAAAAAGCCTATTGCTTACTTTAGCGAGAAACTCAGCGGCGCAACCTTGAATTACTCCACGTATGATAAAGAACTCTATGCATTGATGAGAGCTTTTGAGACATGGCAACACTACTTGTGGTCTAAAGAGTTCATAGTCCACACCGATCATGAGTCTCTGAAGCATTTAAAGACACAAAACAAGCTGAATCGAAGACATACACGTTGGATCGAGTTCATCAAGATGTTTCCTTATGCGATCCAATGCAAGCAAGGAAAGGAAAATATTATGGCTGACGAATTATCGCATAGGTATACTCTTATCTCAACTCTTGATGCCAAACTATTAGGTTTTGAATTCTTGAAAGAGTTATACTTGCATGATCATGACTTTGACAAAATATTTGTTGCATGTGAAAAGAAAGCATTTGAAAAGTTTTATCGACATGATGGCTTTTTGTTTCGTGAAAATAAGCTTTGCATTCCACAAAGTTCCATAAGAGAGTTGTTTGTTGGTGAAGCTCATGGGGGAGGGTTGATGGGACATTTTGGAGTCGTCAAGACATTAGATGTTTTGAAAGAACATTTCTTTTGGCCTCATATGAAACGTGATGTCAAGAAAATTTGTTCACGATGCATGACGTGTAAGAAAGCTAAATCTAAAATCCAACCACATGGACTTTACATGCCATTGCCTGGTCCTAGTAATCCATGGACCGACGTGTCAATGGATTTTGTGTTGGAATTGCCTAGGACTAGAACCGATAAGGATTCAATCTTTGTAGTCGTGGATCGATTTTCAAAAATGGCTCATTTTGTTCCTTGTAAAAAGACGGATGATGCAACTCATGTGGCTAACCTCTTCTTTAAAGAAGTGGTGCGTTTGCACGGCATTCCCAGGACTATTGTGAGGTGAGCGATCGTGATGTCAAGTTCCTCAGTCACTTTTGGTGTATTTTGTGGGGTAAGTTGGGAACGAAATTATTATTTTCCACTACTTGTCATCCACAAACTGACGGACAAACAGAGGTTGTAAATCGAACTTTGGGAACCTTGTTGCGTGCAATCCTTAAGAAAAATTTGAAATCTTGGGAAGATTGCATTCCGTTCATTGAATTTGCATATAACAGAGTTGTACATTCTTCTACTAAGTTTTCTCCATTTGAGGTCATTTACGGCTTTAATCCACTAATCCCGTTGGACTTGGTTCCATTATCTATTGGTGAGATTGTAAGCCTTGATGGAAAGCGTAAAGCAGATTTGGTGAAAAAAATTCATGAAGATGTGAGGCAACACATTCTACAAACGAGCAAACTGCAAATCGAGCCAATAAAGGGAGAAAACACATCACCTTTGAACCATGAGATTGGGTCTGGTTTCATTTTCGAAAGGAGAGGTTTCCAACCCAACAAAAGTCGAACCTGAGTCCACGTGGGGATGGACCATTTCAAGTCTTGGAGAAAATTAATGACAATGCATATAAGCTCGACTTGCCAAGTAAGTATGAAGTGAGTTCAACATTCAATGTTTCTGATCTTTCTCCTTTTGATATTGATGTAGATTCGAGGACGAATCTTTTTGAAGAAGGGGAGGATGATACGAGCTCGAGGACAAATTCCGGTAACGAGCACGAGGCTGAGCTATATGTTCCGATTGAGCCGATCTCGGGAGCACGAGCCAAGAACTTCGGGAAAACATTGCAGAATTTATGGGCAATCAGTCAAAGCAAAGAGCGTATTTCGAGAATCAACATACGGGAGTCGAGGATGATGTTGGTGATTACAAAAGATTGACTTTATTTACAAGCCTCGAAATCATGCGTCTCATTGCTTGAAGTCAACTTAACTACCATGGTTGATTTCAAGGAAGATCACTTTTATTGTATTCTTATTTCCTAAGTTTTCTTTTACCTATATAAACCTATTGTTTTGAGTTCTGTGAGATTATTCTCCAACTTGTTCGTTCTGAACTTTGCTTTACGAGTTGCAAATCTTTCTTGTAGTTCTTAAACTTTTATAATATTGGTTCCAAAACCTTTATCTTGGTCGATCTTACTTTGTTTCATATATTGTTGTCGGGTTTTGATAACACGCAATATATCATGGATTTTTATATGATTCGTCCGACATATTTACCAGACTTTATGATATCTGAGACATTTAAGTGCGTGTTTAGCTTCGATTTCGCTTTGATTTAATCTTTGCAGGTACTACGCACTACGATCGGAAAAATGAGCGAAAACCAACCGAATTTGGAATCAGAAGCAAGAACCGATCGTTTCAGGGCATCCCGAAACGATTATTTTGCCTCTTGGACAAGAACAGAAGAATTACTCAGAAGGCGGAACCGATCGGTTCGTGTTGAGAGAACCGATCGGTTCGATTTGCGGAAATTGAAGATTTGCTCAGAAATATGAACCGATCGGTTCACTATATGACGAAACGATCGGTTCTCTTGCGGAGTTTTTGGAAACATTCCGATTTCGGCCAAAACAAAAAGAAATAAAAGGGAGAAAGCTTCTAGGTCACAGGCATTCCGAATTTTGAGCATAAAAGTGACCTAAGAGCAGAGAAAAGGGGGAGATTATCAGGAAGTAAAAGATTGGAGTAGAAGACGGAGATCACGAAGCCGATAAATCGACTAAGAGTTTCTTCCTTATTCTATTTTACAATGTTTTGTTGTATTGATATGAACCCTTTCGTCTCGATGTGTAGCGAGTAGTCCCCTTGCTGCGGGTTAAGGATTTGTTATGTAGGGATCTGTTGTTTTTTTAATTCCAGACTCTGTGGATTTATCTATTCTATTCGGTTTATTGAGTTGAGATTAATGCTTTTGGTCTTGTTGGCCATTTGATTGAATGAACTTAGGGTTTTAATTCGCATAGACATATGGGATTATAATCTGGAAATAACTCAATAGATAGAACATGTATTACATCGAGAGATGAATATTTGCCTAGGAATTATGATAGCGTTCGTTCATGCATCCAGGATTTAGACTATTGAATCGAGAGATTAATATGATAAAGTCTGGATAGTGAGATAAGACTCGAGAGAGTTAATTTCTATCATAGAGCTTGAATTCCCCGAATTGAATTTATGAATTATAGAGATCTACATCTTTAGAGAAGATCCTTGCATGTAAAGCAATCTCGAAGCCTGCAGTGTTTGTCTTCCATAGTTTACAACCAATTTTAGTTATTTGCTTTGACACGTTCCATCGCATTCTCATATTATTCTCATACTTTCTCTGGATCTAGACTTGGATTTGGAATTGAATTCTTTGCTTAACTTTTGTCCCTGTGTTCGACCCTAGTTATTACAATCGATCCGTACACTTGCGGTATTTGTTGAGTCTAGGTTATTATAACTTGATCGAATTTATTCGCCTAGATTTCTGACATCAAGTGTTTGGCGTCGTTGCCTGGGACAATTTAGGCAATAGGATTAGACTCTATCTAGTCTGGATCTTTTTGTTTCTCTTTTTCTTAAGTGATTTCTCACGTTTTCTTTGTTTGCTGTCATTTTTCGTCTGTTGTGCAGGTTTCTCTAGTGCATGACCAGGAGTGCTGGAACATCAGATCTAGTACTTCTTGACCCTGAACTTGAAAGAACCTCTAGATACATCCGACGTCAACGAAAACAGATGGAGAACGATCGAGATCTTGCTTTTCTCGGTGATGTTGAGGGCAATGCTAACTCAACCTTTGCTCAATACAATATGCCAAAGCACACCGAGCTTTTGGTTGGTATTCGACTACCGGCCATCGACATGTCTAGTTTCGAGCTGAACCCATCTGCTATTCAGATGTTCGACAACAATGCTTTCCGGGGTAGGCCGAACGAAGACCCGAACGCGCATCTAACTCGCTTCAAAATGATGTGTTGTTCTATCAAGAGAGACAACAGGATGACAGAGGATGCACTTCGCTTAATAGCTTTCCTCTGGACTCTCTTGGATGCTGCTCTGGAATGGTGTTATGATCTGATACCAAATTCTATCCACACCTAGGAGCAGTTGGAAGTGCAGTTTATGTCAAAATTCTTCCCAGCTCACCGCACTCAAGCAGCTCTTTCCGTCATTCATTCAAGCAAGCAAGAGCATGGAGAAAGTCTTTATGACGCTTGGAAGAGGTACAAAGGATATCAGAAGTCTTGCCCTCATCATGGACTTGACAAGAACTATTTGATCAACACCTTCTTCCGAGGACTCAGAATGGATACCAAGACTTTGATCCGAGCTTCTTGCGATGGAAGCATCCAGAACAAGTCATTCGTCGAGCTAGAACAACATATTAAAATGATGGCTCAAGAGGAAGATGCTCCGAGCGAATACTCTCGCGATCTATCGAGGAAAGACGGCGATCCCAGCTTGAAACTGGTTCTTGATCAGTTGGCAGCACTTCATGCTAAATTTGGAAGTGCCAACCTGATTTCTACCACAGATGCTCCGACACATCCATAGGAGGATCTTGGTCTTTATGCGATTGAGGAGATGGTTGAAGATCTGAACTACGTAGCCAACAATAACTACATGGACTCGTACAACCCAAGCTGGAGGAATCATCCAAATCTCTCCTACAAGTCGAACAATGTTGAGAATCCCGCACCGAACAACTTCAGAATATCCAATAATCCAAACCAGAGGATTCCACCCGGCTTTGCTTTTCAATCCAAAGGCCCTAATCAGAACTCCAACTACAGAACTCTAGGACAGTCGTACAATAATCCTACACCTCCGGGTAATCGCGACCCTTCTCAAGATACACATGCTCTTATTCAACAGCTCATTCAGGCACATGAGAAGCAGACTCAGGAATTCCGCACTCAATTCGCGAATATTGACGCCCACTTTAGGGTTGTGGACAATCAGATTGCCCAGCTCGCAGTAGACTCTCAAAGACCGTCCGGTGTTCTTCCAGGTAAACCTGAGACGTCTAACCCTCGTGAACATGTTAATGCTATTACTTTGCGAAATGGTAAGCAGGTAGACACTGGAAACTCACCGATGGTTGAGCAAAGCGAAAGCTCGAAGACCAAAGCTTCAGATATTCCTAACGATACTCCTGAACCAGCTTACGTGCCTCCTCCTCCTAGACCTCCACCGATACCATTCCCATTGCGTCTGAGAAAGCATAGCGAAGATAGTCAGTTTGCCAGATTCGCGGAAATGCTGAAGAAACTCGAGGTAACTATACCATTTACTGAAGCTATTTTGCAGATTCCCTTGTATACTAAGTTCTTGAAGGACATCCTGACTAAGAAGAGAGTCGTTGAGAAAGAGACTATAGCACTCACCGCTGAGTGTAGTGCTCTGATCCAACATGAGCTGCCACCCAAGCGGTCGGACTTGGGTCGGATCCAGGTAGCTTCTCAATCCCTTGCACATTAGGCAATGTTTCCATCGATCGTGCGCTTTGTGATCTAGGAGCAAGCATCAACCTTCTTCCACTCTCCATCTTCAAGAAGCTGAATGTGGGCGAGCTAAAACCTACCAGAATGGCTCTCCAATTAGCCGATCGATCCGTTAAATACCCTACTGGAATACTTGAGGACGTGCCACTAAAAGTCAGAAATTTCTACATTCCGGTGGATTTTGTGGTTCTTGACATGGATGAAGATTCTAAGGTACCCATCATTCTTGGTCGTCCGTTTCTTAACACTGCAGATGTTGTTATCCATGTTAGAGCAGGTAGACTGACCATGAAGATTGGAGACGAGACGGTAGAGTTTACTTTGGGCAAAAATCTCAAGCTACCGTCTTCAACCGAATTTGCGTGCTTCCTCGATGTTTTCGGATCCTTGGCTGAAAAGTATTGCATCAATTTCATCACGATGACCCTTGGAACTGACTCTTTTATCGTAGGATAGCATCTATACCGATATTGAACAGATGTGGATTTACGAACGGATTCTAGATCACGAAAATTCCATCGACACAATGGTGGCCGAAATTTCACAGAGAGACAAACCGATATGTTTCCACCTTGGAACCGATCATTTCGGTAGTATTTCAAATGTTGAAAAGTTACAGAAATTCGAACCGATCGTTTCGGGCCTGAGAACCGATCGTTTCGAGTTACAGAAATCAGAACCGATCGTGTCGTCTGGTGGAAACGATCGGTTGGCAGATCGAATTTGTGAGCCAAAGTTACAGAACTTAGAACCGATCGGTTCGGTCCTGAGAACCGATCGTTTCAAGGTACAGAAATCAGAATCGATCGTATCATGCATAGGAAACGATCGGTTTGAAGGTCAGATTTTCGAGTCAATCTTACAGAAACTGAAACCGATCAGATCCAATGTCTCCAACCGATCGGTTGCTCATTCAGAACTGCAAAACACTACGTTTTCATCTTCATGGCTTCCCTCGACCCCTCCTACTCAGGTACATCACTCGATTCTCATGATACATCTATTCTTGCACTCATTAACCATTCAGATTCTTCGTCAACTTTCGGATGGGATCCCGACACCGCACTAGAGCTTGAACTCAAACCTCTCACCACTGGACTTCGGTATGAATTTCTTGGATCTAAATCTACTTATCCTGTTATTGTTAACGTCGATCTGGACTCTTCCCAAGTCCACAAATTGCTAGATATGCTGCGTAAGTACAGGAAAGTGATAGGTTATTCGATCGGAGATATCAAGGGCATCATTCCCTCTTTGTGCATGCATCGGATCCACCTCGAAGACGAGACAAAGACTTCTATCGAACATCAACGTCGTCTCAACCCGAAGCTTCAAGAGGTCATCAAGAAAGAAGTTATGAAACTTCTAGACGTAGGTATTATCTTTCCTATCTCCGATAGCCCTTGGGTTAGCCCTGTGTAGGTTGTTCCAAAGAAAGGCGGGATGACAGTCATCAAGAACGATCGGAACGAGTTGATACCGACAAGGACTGTCACCGGATGGCGTATGTGCATCGATTACAAGAAGCTTAACGCCAACTCAAGGAAGGATCATTTTCCATTGCCATTCATCGATCAGATGCTCGAGCGACTCGCTCTGCATTCCTACTTCTGCTTCCTCGATGGGTACTCAGATTTCTTTCAGATCCCTATATATCCCTCTGATCAGGAAAAGATTACGTTTACTTGCTCATATGTTACATTTTCTTACATTTTCTTGCTCATATGTTCAAGTGTATAGCGTACATCTCATATGTGTTGATTATTGTTTTCATATATCTATCTCATTATTAATGGTTTAAAATTTTCTTTTCATAGTTGATAAATCTTTTTTTTGTATCTCTATGAATCTTTAATTATTTACATATATATAATATATAATATTTTCTTACATAAATGTTTTCCTTCCTAAATATTTTAATATTTTGTGGTAACCGTTAAATAACAATGATATTGTTATATACAATTTCGTATTCCATGATCAATCCGGATTGTTAGATATATAAATGTCTACCTGTATATTGTAATACGTAATAATTATACATACAATATATAATATTATACGTATATATATATATATATGAATTATACGTGTCCATATATTGATATCCACATACAAGCGACGAATAACCATATTGTGTATATACACATTTACATATTTCGAATTTATGAATAGACCAATTCACTCTGATTCTTTATTATTTTTTTTAATTAGAAAAATATTATTATAAAATTTAAAATATAATTTAGTTGAACGTATATTTTAAGATATTTTTTAATAACCTCTCGTACAAACTTTTTATATTTTTAGTTTACTCTCATATGACACTTTTTTTTTTCTATTTGATCATATAACAATTAAGATAATTAAGGTAAATTAAATAGATTAATTAGGGTTATATAAGTTTTATGGATTAAACCAAACCAATAAACAATTATTATTGGGTTAAGCCAATCTAACCCACATTTATCCGATCCATTTGAGTTAGGTTTAAAGTAAAAAAAGTCTGTTATTTCTAGGAAAAAAGTTTAAATATTTTTTAAAGGACAGGGGAAATGGGACAAGGAGACGAGGGTTTCTTTGAATGAGATTGGTTAACGCCTCTCTTCTTCTCCATCTCTCATCCTACAAAACTTCATCCTCTGCATCTAGGGTTTCTCACCATTATCGCCGCTCCTTCTTCTCTCACTTTGTCTTCTCCTCGTCTTTGCTGTCGAAATCGTTTTCCACAGCAACCATGCCGGGTTCCGAGTCGTCGGAAATTCAATGGCCGGCGAGGAGAGTGAGGGACACTTTCATCAAGTTCTTCGAAGGAAAGGGCCATGTCAATTGGAAATCGAGCCCTGTTGTTCCTCACAGTGATCCTACTCTACTCTTTGCGAACGCTGGTACGAGCTCTTGTTCTTTTCGGACATATAATTTGGTTTTCTTATCTGTTTTAATCGAGGGACCGGGAGTTTCCGGTCTGATTGATCGGTGGGAATCATATTCTATAAAGTTTGGATGGTTTCGGAAATGATGGTAATTGAGGAATTGGGAATTGCTGTAGTTGATTTTAGGGAACTTTGAAACTATGAAGTTTCAGTCATGTTTGGTTTGCTTCTTTCTTTCCTTTTCCTCGAACTTGCAGGTTATTTTTGAAGTATTTTAGGTTTTTTTTTGGTGATCCGGCTAATTTATGGGTTATGTCAAATGTTCTGATTTTGATTCTAAGCTCTGCTGTTTGATTTATTGCTGCTATGTCTTGAGAGAACATTTCAAAGCTCGAAAGATAAATATGCGTTGAGTTGTCTCTCTATTTTTTGTTTCTGAAGGAATGAACCAGTTCAAGCCAATATTTTTGGGGACTGTTGACCCGAATACTGCCCTGAGCAAGCTAACCCGTGCATGTAACACCCAAAAATGTATCCGCGCCGGGGGAAAGCATAATGATCTTGACGATGTTGGGAAAGATACTTACCATCACACCTTCTTTGAAATGCTCGGCAACTGGTCATTTGGTGATTACTTCAAGCAGGAAGCAATAGAATGGGCTTGGGAACTTTTAACCAAGGTAGTTGGAGCTATCTCCTTTACATTATGGTTGTCAAGCTTCTGAGTATTTCTCTCTTGTAATGTCTAATAAAGGCATATATTTTTGTTAATGTGATTGAGCACGATGTTCAGAGAATCGTTGTTCGTTCAACATGACTATGTATTGTGAATTTTAAACCGATTACCTTGTTTTCACTTGCCTTCATATGTCCTTATGATCTGACGAATTAGCCTTCCCTTTTGTTCTTGTTTGAAATTCTGCTCAGGTTTATGGGCTACCCACGGATCGGATTTATGCGACCTATTTCGGTGGTGATGAAAAAGCTGGTCTGGCCCCTGATACCGAGGCTAAAGATATATGGCTGAAGTTTCTTCCACCTGGTCGTGTGCTACCCTTTGGTTGCAAAGTATGTTTGATTCCATCATCTCATAAATATTTCAAAATACGACAATTTGTGGCAGTCTCTCTTCGTAAAGTTCCTTTGAAATAGTAGCTACCTGTAGTCTCGTTCTATTTTGCATTTTGTCTACCCTCGTGGTTATCTCCTCTTATTTATGTTGAGAGTGATATAACTGGCATTTTGGTTACTCATGGGATTGGATTTGTATTCAAACTTGGACATTGATACGGACAATGTAATATTACTATCATTGGAGTTGGAAAATGATAGTAATATTACATTGTTGGTTGGAGTTGTAGAAAGTAATGTTTAGGATTTCCATGTTACAAAAATCTTAGCATATGCAAGGTTGATGATATTTTTCTTTGGCTTGCTTATTGTTTTCTTCTTTTTTCTCAAACTGTCATCTTGTTGAATTCATAGGATAACTTTTGGGAGATGGGAGACACTGGTCCTTGCGGTCCTTGCACTGAGATACATTTTGATCGAGTTGGTAACCGTGACGCCGCATCATTGGTTAACAATGACGATCCAACTTGTATAGAGATTTGGAATCTTGTTTTTATTCAGGTACAAGTTTTCTGTTGTGTTAGTTATTATAGTTTCAGTTTAGATTAGCTTTCCTTCATTTTTGCATCTAGAGCATTGAAACATTTGTTTCTGTGCTAAATTTGCCGTGCTTGATCTTTTAAGTCTTAATTTGCCTTGAATGATTTATTCTCAAATTCCACCTTTATATGAGTTTTATTTTGTGTCATTCTGTGATAGTTCAACAGGGAAAACAATGGCTCACTCAAATCTCTGCCTGCCTTGCATGTGGACACTGGACTGGGTTTCGAGAGATTGACTTCGGTTCTTCAGAACAAAATGAGCAATTATGACACAGATGTATTTATGCCTATATTTGATGCCATCCAGAAGGTATTCTGTGAAACGCTTGACATGCTAGTTAATGTGGTGCACTTTCTCAGTTACATTTTCATCTTGTTGCTCTCCATTGATTTACTCTTGGACTCCTTGTCTATCGTTTGTCTTCTCTCTCCATTGATATCATCATTATTATCGTCCTGTTGTCATCTGGATCTTGGTTGCCAGTTATTTTATAGATTCTATTATCCTTTCTGGTTGAGATCCTTTCCTTAATCACGTATTGTTATTCTCTCTGGAACACAGTCTACTAGCTTTTTTGCACAAAGCTAATGCTCCTGATTCAATGATTTGGGGTATCGTATTTAGATATGTATTTTGTTTTGTCTTACCAGCCTCATGTGGTTGTGCTGAAGATCATTTCTTTGTTAGGGATTTCTGTATCTTGAGATATTTTTCTCATGATCGAGAACTTGGGAAGTATCAAGTGTCTTCTCTAAATGCCCTGAATCTTCGTATTGATATGCCAAAATCTGTTACATTTTATAGGCCACAGGAGCTCGATCATACTCTGGAAAAGTTGGTTCAGAAGATGTGGACAACGTTGACATGGCATATAGAGTTGTTGCTGATCATATTAGAACTTTATCATTTGCTATAGCAGATGGATCTTGTCCAGGTATTACTTGTTTTTTCCTTGTCCCTCTTAATCGAGATGGTATTGTTACATTATTTTTCTCTGCAGACTGTTCAGTAGTTTATCATTTATTTGTTTCACATTATTCTATTCTCTACTAGAATTAATTGTGAGTTACATATGCTAGATTAGATGGCATTTTTTTTTCACATTTTCTTCATGTTTCAATCTACCTGTTGCTGTAGTGAAAATCTCTCCCAAAAATTTCCACTCGTGTAGTTTAGAGAATATCACCTAAAGTAACACCCTCTTGTAGGTAATGAGGGTCGTGAGTATGTCCTGCGTCGCATTCTTCGTCGAGCGGTACGTTATGGGAAGGAGATTCTAAAAGCTGAGGAAGGCTTTTTCAATGGGTAGGAAATTCCATTGCGATTTTTGCTGTATGCTTTCTTTCGGCATTTTTTTCCCTTGGTGTCTTGTTTTGTAATATAAGCCAAGAGCTTCCTTTGGCATCCTACATCTTTACATGTGATTCCGGTCACTGAACAGTTTATGCTTAAATTGTAGCCTCGTAAGCTCTGTCATTCGAGTCATGGGTGATGTCTTTCCGGAGTTGCAACAACATGAAGCTCGCATCAGAGAGATAATCAAAGATGAAGAAGCAAGCTTTTGCAAGACCTTGGGGAAGGTGAGAATGCCGGGTTCAGAGTATTTGTCAACATTAATTTTATAGTTCTTTAGTTGCTTTGTCTTTCTATGAATTGTTATCCTCTAACTTATTTATGCTGATCGGCTGATATCTGCTGGTTTTTATTGTTTGGCAATGACATTCTAGATTTACCATCTTCTCATCTTCAGTATCATAGTGGTCTTTTCATTTCCTTTTTCCTTCTGATAAAATTATTCCACGGGTAGAGTGCTGATCTTTGCGAATCCCAGCACCCCTGTTATTTGATTTAAAATGGCTTTTGTTTGCCACCATTTTGAATAACATCATCTTTAGAGATAGGCGTGAACTTGTTTTACTATTTGTTATACAGGCTGCTTCAAGTATAGTTTTGATTCATTATCTACATAATTCCAGGGAATTGAGAAATTTGAGAAAGCTGCTCAGGCAGTTCAGAGAAAAAAACTGAGTGGACAGGTATGTATATAACTCTTTCTCTTTGGTTTTCTTTCCATTCTTGTTACATGTGGTTTTGAAATCGAGGAAATGAAACTGCTGCCTGTTGCGCCTTTTTGTTGTTGGATAGTCTGTACTGCTATCTTGGAAGTCTTCTGTGTATTGTATTGCTGATCTCAACTTCCTTTGTCTTGTCTTTGCAGGATGCGTTTGTCCTTTGGGATACGTATGGTTTCCCATTAGATTTGACTCAGGTATTGAGTTCACCCATGTCTTTTTTTTTTCTGGTAATCTGTGTGATCTTTCTATTAAATTAAATTCTCGTGTTTTAGTTGATGGCTGAGGAAAGAGGCTTAGTGGTTGATGTTGAGGGTTTCAACAAAGCCATGGAAGAGGCAAGGGAAAGATCTAGGAGTGCCCAGAATAAGGTAGTATGGTTTTTCTCTGTTTTTTCTATGAACTGTTGACGTTGGATAAGGGGACAATTCTGGAACTACAGTATCCTTCAGCTGAACTGCTAATTTATTTTATTTTTTTTTGCAGCAAGCTGGTGGTGCAATTTCAATGGACGCTGATGCTACATCTAATTTGCACAAGAGTGGTGTTTCAGCCACTAACGATTCTTTCAAATACATATGGTTCCAGGTTTCTCCTACCTATTCTCGTCTAACTCATATGTTGCGCTCAAAGTTTTTAATTGCTTCATTGTCGAAAGAAAGGTGTTCTTAAATGTAATTGGGTTTTCTTCTGAATGGGTGATATTCTCATGCCATATCTGTTTCATATGCATATCAAAGTTTCCTTGTTCAACTGTTTGTCTACCTCCTGGTGTAGGATCATGATAGTGATGTGAAAGCTATTTACACTGGTTCAGCGTTCATGGAAAGTTCTGGCGTTGGCGATAATGTGGGACTAGTATTGGCGTCATCAAGTTTCTATGCAGAGCAGGGTGGTCAGGTATTCATCCTTTATTTGATATACTTCAATCATGTTTTTTTCCCTCATTTCTGCTTATGAGCAAGCATAGATAACAGACTGATCTGCTTTCACATTCATTGTGATATATTCATGTAAACATGGCTGGAAGAAGTATGGTCATTTTGGATTGCACTATGCCTTAGTTTTGGATGGTCAATTGCGAGAATATACTGTTCTGGAAATTCTTGCATACTGATTTCCGAAATACACTTTGACAGTTGTGAATATGCTATATTATTCCTTGCCCAATGTTCTTGACATTATTGCTTTGGTGATAGATTTTCGACACAGGGGTGATAGAAGGCTCTTTCGGTACGTTCAAAGTTTGCAATGTGCAAATATTTGGTGGTTTTATTCTTCATATTGGTTATCTCACGGGGGAAACCGGAAAGATCAGTGTGGGGGATAAAGTCACCTGCAAGGTAACTGCATGTGTAATAAGATTCTTGTCTCATTATACATATTTGGTACAACCTAATTTTTTCTTTGTTTATGCACACAGGTTGATTACGAGAGACGTAAACTCATTGCTCCTAATCACACTTGTACACATATGTTGAACTTTGCCCTAAGGGTATGATTTTACTATATTTTTGTTTCCATTCATCAAGTAAGTTTCATGTGGTTCAAAATATATTTTTTCCAATGAGTGCAGGAGGTGCTTGGAGATCATGTTGATCAGAAAGGATCCATTGTCCTTCCTGAAAAATTGCGATTTGATTTTTCCCATGGTACAGTCAAATTTATCTTTACTATTTTGACATATGGGCCATTTTTTTCTGGTCTAATGGGTTCCAAATTTTAAATAGGCAAGCCGGTTGATCCTGAACAGCTGAGAAAGATCGAGTTCATTGTGAATGATCAGATTAAGGCTGAATTAGATGTATATGCGAAGGAAGTGACTCTTTCTGAAGCCAAGCGTATCAAGGGTTTAAGAGCAGTATTTGGAGAAGTAAGCTGGGCTTTGATTCTCGCTCTAGTCTCAATTTATATTTTTTCCTCTCTGTTCCTACAATTGTAAAAAAATATCTCTTGTTACATTCAGGTCTACCCTGATCCTGTCAGAGTGGTGGCAGTTGGGAAACAAGTCGAGGACCTTTTATCTGATCCTGAAAACAATGAATGGTTATCAATTTCATCTGAGTTATGTGGAGGTCAGTTTCTATTGGTGTTGGCTTTTTTAGAAATAAAGAGGTCATTGTTATGCAGGTATTTTCAGCATTGTTATTCTTACAATTCCAGGAACCCATATATCAAACACCCGCGAAGCCAAAGCATTTGCTCTTTTAGCTGAGGAGGGAATTGCCAAAGGCATCCGTAGGATAACTGCTGTGACTACTGATTGTGCTTTTGATGCGGTGATTGCGGCATCCATGCTTGAAAAAGAGGTAGAGGACGCATCCAAAGAATTGGGAAGCGCATTGGAAAAGGTTGGCTCTCTGTCACACAGACACAGAACCATTTAGGAAGTGCAATGAAGGATTTTCCTTTTTATCTATTGTCAATGCAAACGATAATCAGCGAGTTTTTTCTACTTCTCAGAAAGTTGCTGCTTTGAAGAGCCGGGTAGATGCAGCAGTTATTCCAGCACCCAAAAAAGCAGATATCAGGGCCAAGATTGTTCTGCTACAGGTGATGGCTTTGAGCCTCATACTACGTATCTTGTCTCATCATCCGTTCTTTGGTTTTATTATAACCCAAATCTTGCCATGGTTTATATGATCAAAAGAATACTGAGCTGTTTTCTTTTCTCGACAGAGTGAAGTGAGAAAGGCTCAGAAGAAAATAGCAGAAGAAAACATCCGGAAAGCTGTCAAAGTGGCAACGGAGACCGCCGAGGCTGCAGCTTCGGATGGAAAGCCCTTCTGTGTATCCAATGTTGATGTTGGTCTTGATGCAGCCGCTGTGCGGGAGGCAGTTTCAAAAGTCATGGAACAAAAGGTAAAACACGGTGCCTTTACTTCATGGGTTTTGACAATAGAAAGTAAAAATAATCAATGAAAGTTTTGGTAAAATTGTGGCAGGGCATGTCAATTATGGTATTCAGTACGGATGAAGCCACAAAAAAGGCCGTTGTGTGTGCTGGAGTTCCAGGGAAGTACAAGCAACTGGACGTGACAGAGTGGTTATCAAATGCTTTGGGGCCTCTAAATGGGAGATGTGGAAAAGGAAAAGGTGGTCTTGCAACAGGACAGGTACCATAATTCTCACAAACTGATATACTCCTAGAATTTAGGGATTTTTGTTAGTTTTATCATTTAAGGAAAAGGCCGTTGTGTGTGCTGGAGTTCCAGGGAAGTACAAGCAACTGGACGTGACAGAGTGGTTATCAAATGCTTTGGGGCCTCTAAATGGGAGATGTGGAAAAGGAAAAGGTGGTCTTGCAACAGGACAGGTACCATAATTCTCACAAACTGATATACTCCTAGAATTTAGGGATTTTTGTTAGTTTTATCATTTAAGGATTATAATATCTAGATAATATTTAAAGAGCATTTAGGAATATTTTGGAGATTTCAGATTTGTCCGACATAGCTCATTTTGTATCCTTTTAGGCAATAGCTCTTTCTATAAAGGGAGCCCTTACAATATGAATAAACCATCCAAAAGAGTTTTGGTCGTAAAGTAGGATACTGTTCATCCCTCGGTGAACCGGGACCTTGAACCCCATTAGCGTTGGGAAAAATCTATAATTTTTATTGTTGTTTCTTCAATAGATCTGATCTCGGGTCTATCGCAAACTTGAGATTTCGTGGAAGAACACTTTGAACCGAACTAGCAAGCGGAGTAGAAACCAGATGGAAACTGACCCGTATCATCGCCTTTGTTTTAGGATTCGTTTGTTGTTTTAGCGGTACAGTTTTTGGTTCAGAATAAGAACCATAAATATATGTAGAAGTTAGGTCCAATGAAAATTGCCTCCAAGTTGAAACATCTATGTTCATCTTACTGGGTGGAGACCAAACTAGAAACTGAGCCATAATACATGAGTTCGATATTTTCACCGCTTATAATCGGTATGAAAAATCGGGTCTGATTAAGGTTATTTAATTGTCGATTTTGGTTTTCAGGGAACTGATGCTTCTCAGGTGAATGCGGCATTGGATTTGGCTGCAACCTTTGCATCAATGAAACTCAACTGATTTGTTTTGGAAGATTTTACAGTCTTCGCTTTGGGGGTAAAATCTTTTCCCTGTACTTTTAACTTTTACCTTATTATTTACATGAAGTCTCTTCAGCTTTTTACTGTAATCTCTTGCGATGAAATTTGTGGAATTGCTTGAAATTTATGATAATGATTTATATTTTGAGCAGTGTTGTTAAAAATCGGCCATGGCGCCGCCATTCCCCCCATTATGGCGTCAAATTGTATGGCGTTGTGGCGGGCCATGTGGCGAAGACCAATAAAAAAGGAAAACAATTTAACCAAATCGGCAGAATTGGAAACGTTTCCAAATGAAAAAAGGAAAATTGCCAAAACAGAAAAATAAAAACTTTGCAAAAAAAGGAGAATGTAGAGTTTCTACAACGTTCTAATGTATATTCAATGACAAGTTTCTATCACTCTTTTGTTATTTATTTTTTTATGAACATCTTTCTACCTCAGCATATGTTACATGTATATATATATATGTATAGGTTATAGGATCGTTCATATTTATCTTCAAGTGTTCATATTCATATTTTTTTAGACACATAATGTTATATTATAATGATGATATATAATTTTAGACATAATTTTATATTATGATGATGATTTATTTTGTTTATCCTTATAAATATGATATAGTTTTTGAACCGCCATAAATCGCCATGGCGTCCGCCATATATTCATGGCCTATATTTTGTTTGACGCCGTGGACCGCTATACGCTATTGATAACACTGATTTTGAGTTAGCTTTTAGAAAAATAGAAATTGGAGAATTTCTATGTTTTGTTTCTTTTTATATTTTCGATTAATCTCATAACTATTTTTTTTTTATCTATTGCCTTTATTTGTTATCTTCATGATTGGGTTCGTGAGTTTGCATAAATCACTTATTAATTTAATTTTTGTAGTATTGTTATTTAACTGAGTTAAACCGTATTTTTAATAGATGATATTTGAGATTTCGGTTTGGTTATATTTTAGTTTAAATTTTAATGTTTTGGAGAAAACTGTGTTCATATGTTTTTTATGTTAAAATTTTTAATTTATTTCTAGTTTTATTCATCCGATTTCAATTTTTTACAAAAATATATTATTCTTCAATGATTATTATTTTTTAAGTTATTTTCTGTTAGATTATGAGTTCAGGTTCAATTTTTCAAATGATCATGTTCTTGTTATTACGCTGGACATTTATACTGAATATTCATAATTATTTTAACCTGTCCACGTTCTTGTTTTTGGGCAAGAACATTTGATAAAATTTCGAATTTTAGAGATGTATAAAATCATATTTCTTTTCATTTATGCACTTTAATATTAAGGGACAAACACAAAAAAAAATCATAAAATTTTCAATTTATTAAAATTAAATGCAACATTTTAAAATCATTAATTAAATTCTTAACTATCATTTAAGATCAAAGTGTAGGATTTAATTTTAGTAAGTGTTAATGTGTGAGATTTTTTTGGTGTTTGTCCCTAATATTAAAAATGAAAAAACCATTAAAGATCGTTTAAGAAAATGATATCATACACAGCTAAAATTATTATTGCTATAACTAAGGAAAACTTCCACTAATATTTTGCAATCCATTCTAGTGTAGGTTTTTACATTTTATCATGTTTGCAGTTCAAGGAAACAACTGTTTAAATACAGCTAGTTGGTAAAATCATTTATAAAAATTATAAGCGAGAATCACTCCAAAAACTTCAATTGAAGTCTAAGAAAAACCAACCGGAATATCTATGTAAATGAAACCGGAGCAATCCTGGGGAGGCTTGGAGCAATGGCATGTAAAATGTAAAATGGACAGGTGACGAGTTTCTTCAATTTTTTTTGGAGATTTAGTTAGTACACAGATTTTCATTAAAATGTTTTTTTATTAAAAGATTTTACATTCATTTGATTTTCAATTATTTTCGTATTTGTTTCGAATTCAGTTAATCAGATTTTGTATTCATTAGGTTAGAATTGTTCATTCGATTCGGTTTATACATACACCAACCGGAATATCCATACATCCGGAATGATGACGCATCTTATACAAAATATTGCCTTGGGCCTCTGAATTCTGAACCTAAGCAGCGTTGTAAAGCTTGCATTTCCCAGTTCCTGCACAAACCTCACACTCATCTGCATCACCTTGTGCATGCCCCAAGCAATGTTTGATTCTGTCGTTCACAACGTCCTGCAAAAAAAAACACAAATTTTCAGATTAAACAATAAATATTCTCACTTCCAAACAAAATTTGATCAAGAAAAGCTTTTAAGAAAGATCAAAGGATCAATGAAATTACTGTGAATGAAACCACAATATGATACAAGTAAAATTGGCATTCATCAAAATCTGAAGAACATCGAGCTAATGTCGAGAAATTTAGAATTTTTTTCTCTCTGAAGGACATGTCGGAAGATTTTCTACCATATATTTCTTACCACGAGAAGATTATGAAGGAAAGTGACTATGAAATATGAATTAAGGAAACTAGCAAAATCTCAAACACATTAAGATCTTCTACCGAAAATATCTTACCACGAGGAGATTATGAAGCCCGAGAGGCGCAGTTATGAGGTATGCTATGCCGGGGAACTCCTTTGCAGCATCAACAGTCAAAGACGGAATATCCTAAAACTCAAATAAGAATCACCATTTTATTTAGCCTCTTTGAAGTATACATCCTCAGGTAATACTTCGATTTAGTGTGAAGAAATACCTGAAAATCAGATACATAAAACTATACCTGTTGCCAATGTCTTCCAGGAAAGAGAAAAAACGGGCTAATAACTACCCGTTTCGCCCCTTTTTGAACACATATGCTGAATGCATCTTTTATAGAAGGTTCTGCCAATTCCTGACAAAAATTTCCTTTTTAGATACGCTATAACAGCCATGAAGGGTGACATAAACAGTGTCAAGCTAGTTTAAGCTCAAAGGGTGAAGAGAAGTTATTGATTCAGATGAATTTCTAATCCAAAAGATGGCCAGAAAACTAAAAATGATATACTTGGAGTAATACCCAACAATATGCACGCTATAGCGGCTGAGACAGCGGATTATATCAAACAAATGATCTGAAAGGAAAAACTTTGCTTATTGCCCGTCCCGGGGACAACGGGAAAAATGTACGTCCTGATGCATTTTATACAAGGACTGGTATCTATTTCTACTACAACATAGGATCTATTTCTACGACATAGGCCAACCTTTTTAAATACTTTTAATGTTTTGCAATTAAAGAAACCAAAAGTATTCATCGCAACAGTTTTCTCACACAATAACTTACATTTTAATTCAACTGCAAAACCCATCATTACAAATCAGATCATCTAATTTCCTCCTAGAGGTATCTATAACGTCATATGGCATTTGGATTTACATAAAGATCAATAAGAGGACAAAACAATTTAAAAAAACATCATATGCCAAGAGCAGCGACCCTATTGCTGGTTAAGATTTGTGAAATGAACAAAACATTACTTGCTAATAAAACAACTTGGAACATACAACAACAATCTAAGAGCACCAAATTGTTTCTACTTGCAGGTATTTGTTTTCGTTTTACAAACATTTCGTTCATCCCAAAACAATTAACTGAAAATGTTCATGCTGTCTATACCTTCCTCAGAAAGAGAAAGGTGAGAGAGTATTAGAAGAATTACCATATGAGCAGGTTCCACAATTGGGTATCCAGTTTGGTCTTTGAACATCTTCACAAACTCATCTGAAACTCGGAAATCACTACACAATGATATATAACCCCCATAGAAGCAAAAGAAGAGAACAATAAGAAATCGAATAAGAACCCAGAAATCTCACCAAGCATAAGATTGGATTCACGGCGACGAGAACCATGATCGACAATTATAATCCCATCACCATCACCGATCCCATTTCTAAAGAACCCACCATTTTCAGAGGTCGCAAAGCAAGGTAACGAACACATTCTCTGTCTGTGTTTGGTGTGAAGCTTCTGAAATTTTACGGAACCTGGGAGTGCCCGTGTCCGATTTGTTCGTGTAATCTCAACCGAAGAAGATGAAATGTAATTCTTAGCCCTGAAATTGCCCAGGAGAGCAAGAGAATTAGGAGCAAAACAAGAGAAGAAATAACAGAAGTAGGAAATAAAACGGCGAAGTACCATTTGTAAGGGACAACTTGAGGATTATTGATGAAGAATTGAGATAGAGCCGTGATTTTGTCCGCCATTTCAGTCAGATCAAACTGAAAATTGGTCAGAACAGCTTGGTTTTGATCGCATCACTCAGAGGGACTCCAGGAAAGAGGTTTGAAGAAAGAAGTCTATCTTTTCTTTCCCTTTAGAAATTAACATCGTGTTTGTTTTTTGTTGCAGTAGATTCATTGAACCTAGACTATAGTGATATGGGATGTTTTAGTTGTTAGTATTAGTTAGTAGTTTCAGCAATGGATAGTTATAAATACAGATTAGATAGATGAGAAAGGTTTTATTCACAAATTTCATAAAGGGATTAGGGTGGTCATTTCGGATTTCGGTTTAGATTCGATTCGGGTATATTCGAGTACGATTATTTTGGTTATAGAAAAACTATAATCATTCGATTTTTATATAAAACTTTAGTTTGATTCGGTTTGGATTCGATTTTTTTTTATTAAAAACTTAATTTTTGAAAGAAATTGTCTGTTTTTTCGATTATTTTTTTGAAAGAAATATTAAACTCCCTAGTCATGTATCATTATGGAAATAATGATATACTAAGACTAGTATGATGTGTGATTGATGATCATATAGATGATCATAGGTATTGGATACGATCACAATCGTAGGTATTCGTTGGAGAACGGAATACTGGAATGACCCGCATGAGATTGTCACATGGATTAGCATCATGACTTGAATCTCATATGGCGGTTCCATGATTGGATCCTAAGACCTGAGATATCTACGGAATCCAACATGAGGAGTTGCGTGCTTTGAATACGTCAAACGTCCTGCGTAACAGGAGAACTATAAAGGCGTGTATCAGGTACGAAACGAATCATGTACTGGATTGTAGATAGTCAAGACGGGATTTGTACCTCTCGTAAAAGAGAGAGATATCGCTGGTGATACACGCACCGGCTTCGGAGTTGTATAGAGATGGCCCAATTGCAATCACCGGCACTCGCGAAGGAGGCGCTCGAATTCCCTCTTGGGAAATAGATGGAATCGAAGGGGAATTACGGGACGATGGCTCAATCACCGGCACTTCTATGAAGGCTCTCGAACTCAAGCCAAAGTC